TTAAAAAATAAAATAAGAATAATAATTGTAAAAGTCCACTTCGTTCTTTGAGAAAATCACAGAATCACAGAATGGCCAGGGTTGGAAGGGACCTCAAGGATCACGAAGCTCCAACCCCCTGCCACACGCAGGGCCACCAACCTCCCCATTCAATACCAGCCCAGGCTGCCCAGGGCCCCATCCAACTGGCCTTGAACACCTCCAGGGATGGACGGGGCATCCACAGCCTCTCTGGGCAGCTGTTCCAGCACCTCACTGCTCTCTCTGTAAAGGACTTAAAATCAAAGTAAATAGTAAAGAAGTAAAAATTAGTGAAGAACTTAAAATTTGTGTGTATCCACCAGCAGGGTGAAGAAAAGCCAACTTGCAAAGCTGCATTAAGAAGTCTGATCTCCAGAACAGCCAAGCAAGAGCTTCTCCACATCTCTACAGATCTTCTGACAGCAAATAGCCTGAGGCCCATTTACTAATGCCAAGCTCTGCTCTAACCTAACACCTTTAGAACTGGACATCAAAGGGAGGAGAACAGGGCTCACACTGAGCATCTTAATGGTAGGTATGAAAAAATTTTCACAGTGGAAGACTGGAATGAGTTTCATATGGAAATGGGGAATCCCTCTATTGAAATTTTTAGGTGCACGTAAAAGAAACATGCATCAGTGAGATCTAAGAATATTCAGTACTGCCTTGGAAGTGGAGGATGGTTTAGGTGATCTTTTTAGCTACATACCTATAGGATTTGCAAATGTTTGTAATTAATTATGCCAACCAAGGAATAACATAACTACCTGGAATCAAAGTCATAAGCTTGCACACCCAAGCAAGAGCAAACATTTTAGAACTAGTAAATCATCTAAGCATCATAGCTGGTCTGAAACACTTCATCTAAAAATGACAGTTCCTCCAAACTGAAGTTTGGGGCTACAAAAATACTCGGTTTAGACAAGGTGGCATTCTGAGTTCAGCACTGAATTATTGGGTAAAATAGAGTCCCTGTGAGCAGAGTCCAGCAGCTGCCCTATGTTAGAGGACAGCCAGCTCCACCCAGCTCCAAGAAGAACCCACAATGGAGTAGTGCTGGGAGAGCTGCAGCCTGCGGGAAGCCCACCAGGGCTGAGTTTGGGAAGGATGGCATCCATGGGAGGGACACAGCAGGAGCATGGGAAGGGAGTGAGGATGAGGGAGTGGCAGGGACTGACCACAGCTTTCATCTTCCATTCCTCTGTGCTGCTCTGGGGAAGGAGGTAGGAGAGGTGGATGGGATCAGTGTGTTTCAAGTTTGCTTTTAGTTCTCACTACTCATGCCTGTTACAAATAGGCAATAAATTGCGTTAATCTGCCTTAAGCTGAGTCTGTTTTGCCCATTTTAATTCAGCTGCCCATCCGTGTGAAGCCACCACATCATGCTAGGGAGGCACTGCCCTTCCTCCAGTCTTTCTTGTGGCATTTTATATGATTAATCAGCAGTTCACTGAGGCAGCAAAGTCAGTTTCTGTTCTGACAAATATTTAATTAACAGATGTCTGAGACTCCCAATTGATAATAGTCAAATATTCCTCTCTTGCAACTCTTCTTTTCTTACATATGCTGCAAATGGACTACATGCAATTAAACAGGGCTGTGGTCCTGACAACTAATTCAGTAGAAGGTGACCTGAAAGTCACCTATACAGCAGCAAGATTAATCATAGAATCGTAGAATTATAGAATCACCAAGGTTGGAAAAGACCTCCAAGATCATTCAGTCCAACCATCCATCCACCATCAATATTTCCCCGCTAACCCATGTCTCTCAGAACAACATCTAAACGTTTCTTGAAATTCCTACAGTGGCTTACATGGGCTAAAGTAAATTGAAATTGTTAAGAAGGAATGTTAGGCACAACTTGGATCTGTGAGTTGTCCCAAAGTGCTTAGTTTCAGAATAGCACCTTAGCACTGAAGAAGTTCCTATATGCTTGTAACTATGCTCTCTCCTGCTTCTGGGCTGTGAAATCATGGTGCCTTGTTGGTAGATTGGATCCTTATTCTGTCTTCACTACCTTGATAACAGGTGGATGCAGATTTTTTCCTCCCTGAGTTTTTCAAGTCTGAACAAGCTTCACCCTTGCCCTTTGTGTGTTGATGCTTGCTGGACTGAGGCTTTAACAAATAGGCTAAAATTATATCCTCCTTCCTCTTCTGCACAATAGTCAGCGTGTCAGAATGAAGCCTTGCTAACCAACACAACAACCTGTGCCCTAGAAAATTTTATGCTTCTGCAGAACCAAAGTTAATCCCAAACTGAACACAAACACAAAGCAGCCCATAACACAGTGTCTTCTCCTGCACAGCTTCAGGAAATGTTTTAATTGTTCTCTACATCTGGCTACAATGATCCCATGATGGCTTCCTGCCTGGATTCTGCTGTAAAATACCAGTGCAAGACCTTATCAAGAGTGGTTCAAGCATCCTGGCCTCTCAAAATGGCCTCTTGGGGAAAGAGAGTTTTCCCCTTTGTTATTTGAAGGAAAGGAATCACTATCACTACCTTAGCAGAAGGACTGACAGCAGCTGCAGTTGGGATGGAGGTTTCATGTGGTTTGACAACACAGTTAAGCTGACAGAATAGCAGGCTGCTGCCAGAACAGCCAGTCTGCTCTCCCCACCCTGTCCCCAGCCATGCATTCCTGGCATTCTCTGATCCTAAGAAGAGCTGGTTCAGGTAGATAAGTTCATAGAAAATTAATCAAAAACAAAACAAAACAAAACCAATTTTCAGTGGTCTTGCTTCTTCAACCAGCTCATTGGCTCTGCATTCTTTTGATGAGAGCCAGTTGCTAGTGCAGCCAGAAGAACCTTTCAGCTATTTAAAACTCTTTAGTTGCATTAAACACTGACACCATTGAACCAGACTTGCAGGAACAAAGAGAGGCCTCTTCCAGCTCTACCCTGACACACGTGGATAATCACTGCACCCATCTGAATGGATGCAACACGTTGAACTGCACAGCACATCCCCAAGCATTAGAGCAAAGGAGCAACCATTCCTGCTGTCACCAGGCTTTCGTCAGTGACAAAGAGCAGACTTGTAGGCAGATGGTGGAGAGTCAACTCCTCTTTTCTTGCTTTCTGCAGCCTGCTTCTCTGCCTTTAGCACACAGCAGTCCCATGCCCCTTATTGGTCACACTTTGAAAATAACCAATATCAGCTGTTTGGAAGATTCTGCAATTTTTCACTCTCCTTTTTTATGCCTCTGTTCTCCTCTAAACTCAGTCTTCTTTCCTATTCACTCACCCAGTTGCCAACACGCATAGGGCCATAGTTAATGTCTTTGGATGAACAAACACCAGCACTTAGGTGGGAACTTCACTGCTCTGCTGGTGGGACTTCTTGGCGCTGTTTGAAAATGCTCACCCAGAAGGAGCAGCATGCTGAAGACTCACTATGACAGGTAAGACTCATGCAGTCGTGGAACCACCCACCAAACAGAGATGAATGGTAGGAACTTGAGGATAACAAAAATTGCATGAAACATAAAAAGGAGCAGATTGCCAGTGTTCTGAGTGAGAAATCCTCCTCGAGTTGACAATGAAATTCAGATCCACCACCAACTGTTCTGTCTTCACCCTTCACCAGACCCTTTGGATTCAGTCTGGTACGCTGTTTGGCACATGAGATAGATTGCCATGAAATTGAGAATGAAATAACAGAAAAAAGAAAAAAAAAGGTAGAGGAATCTTAGGTTAGGGCATTAATTTTCTACTACTAAAACATGTCAAAATTCTCCTGTGCATTATTAGCTGAGACTGGAGGAAACCTAGGCTGGTACCAGGAACTGGCATACTCAGTGCATTTCTGACACACAGCTCCTAGCTAGGAAGTATCTGCTGTGGTGGACAGATTACTGCACAGCACTGAGATTCCTCTGCTGCTGAAGTCTTTTCACCATACAATTATATGGCAAAGGGATTCTTGAGCTTCATCGCTTTCAGTGACTCTAACTCGTGGCAAAAAGGAGGCTTCAGAAATGGGTATGCATTCCCCTCTGTTGCCTTCTCACAAAAGAAAAACGGCTGCTATGAATGGCATTCAGCATCGCTATGAGTTGAACACACAGAGGACAGCTAGGCAAACAGAAAGCAGCAGAACTTAGCTCTGACCTTCCTCCTAGAAATGGCAACAGGCACAAGAGCCAAACGAAATAAGAGTGCATCCCTGAGAGAGATCTGCAGCCTGCCGTGTTGCTCGATGTCCAGCACCGCATCAGAACAACTTGTTCAATAAACACGTTGTCAGATAGTTAGACCTATTTGGACAGCGAGTTGCAGTGAGCCAGAACGAGTCAGGGAGCACTGGTGGTGCGTATGGGGATCTGGGACGTCTGAAGGAAGGAAGCCCAAGCAGGTGCCTCCATTGGCCCCGTGAGAGCTGACATTTAGGGACATATGAAAGAACTCTAAAGACTACTGTGGAGTTTTAGGGCCATTAAAACAGCTTCTACTGCCCTCTGGAGAAGCTGCCGTCCCCATAAATGCGTGGTGGAAGAGGGGAGAGAATATTATAGCTCCCCAAGCCCTCCAAGCCAGCAAGCAGCCGAGAAGCGCAGCCTTCATCCCCCCCAGCTGCTGTCACACATCTGCAGCTGCCTCCACGCAGCAGCACCGCGCACGTTTGTGAGGTGACGTGGATGCGATCCAGAATAAGCCGTGTAAGCCGGCAGAAGCAGCCGCCCGGCTCCGCAGCTCCGCGGCAGCCGGTGGCACGGCGGACCTCCGGCACTGCAGGCTGCCAGCTGTACAGAGACGGGCACGAGAATAAGTGCGGCATGGCAGGGTTTGCAGCAGAGAGGCCTCACGGAGCGGCTTCGCAGGGCACCACCACCTTCATCCCTCACAGCCAACCCCAAATCCAACTCCGCCCCACAGCCGACCCGCTCCCACCCCCCAACCACGCGGAGACGCCCCCGCCCCTCTCCGTGCGGCACTGCGCCTGCGCAGCCCGCGGAGCGGAAGGGGCGGGGCCGCTCTGCCGGAAGTGGCTTGAGGAGGCATGGCGGCGCTGGCGCGGGCCGCGGTGAGTGGCAGCGGCGGGTGGTGCCGCCGAGGGAATGTGCGGTGCTTCGCGGCCCCGCCTCCGGCCCGGCTCCGTCCCTCCGGTCCCGGCGGTTCGCCCGCCGCTTTGTGAGCGGCCAGTTCTCGCCCTGAGCTTACCGGCGTGCTTCGCTGTGAGCCCTGCGCTCTGCACCGCGCTGCCGGGGCGCTCCCGCGGGAGATGCACGGGGCCGGCTCCGATCCTTCAGAGCGTGTGATCCGACAGGAGCCGGGGCGGGCCTGAGTGTTCCCGGCTGGGGCTTTGCCCTTGAGGCCTTCTTTCTGTGCCCGTGGGGCTGTGCCGGGCGGCGGGGATGTGCGTTCCTATGGGTTCTCCTCTGGAGGTGTTGGGGTGGGAGGTGACGTGATCAGGTTGCAGGTTTTGCATCGAGTGGCAGAGCTTGGGTTCACTTGAGGATGGATTCCCTCTCACTCCACTCCTTTGTTCTTTATCATGGATTTGTGTGTTTTTTGTCTGTCATCTTTCAAAGCTGCAGCACATTGCCAGATGTCAGCATAGGGCCTACAAAAGGGAGCTTGGAGGCTGGAGCTGATTTGTGCCACAGCACAAACACAGGGATGGCTGATGCTGTCAGATGGAGACAGGCTGGTGGCAGAAATGCAAGGCCTGTAGTCACAGAGCAGTGCCTGCTTCTGAAAGTAATCCACCTCATTTCTGGAATTGATGTCTCGGGTGTGGTATCACAATGGTGAACCTTCAGCTGAAAACAGCTGAGAGCAAATCTGCCTGAGAGCGAATGGAATGCAGTCAGCTGAGCTCCTGTTTCCTGCTTCAGCAGCTGTGTTCTGTCCTTGCTTGTGGCTCCATGCTATTGCATACCTCTGCGTGCCCCAGCATTTTTCTTGGCCTCTGTGCTCTAATGCCAAAGCAGAACTGGGGCAGTATAAAGTTAGTTTCCTGCTGTTTTAATGAACTGAAAAGGCAATTGCTAGCAAAAAGCGAGGAGGAAGCCAGGTGGGAGTGGAGCAGTGAATCGCTGAGGGTTCAGCTGTCCCTGGATCTGTACCCCACGGCACCAGTTTCAATGAAAAGCTGCATGCAAAAGGTGCAGGTTTGTCTCCCAGGCTTCCTATCCCCATGCAGTGCTTCTCTCTCATCTGCTTCTGGTATTCATATTGCAGAGGAAGCTGCTTGAACTTTTTATCCCGGCTGGAAGAAATTCTCTTTGGACAAGATGTAGTTGTCTGCCATTTTTGTGGTTTGAAGGACCTTGCTTTGTGATTAGAGAAGCTCAGGAGCTGTAGTAAGTGGTGAGAGTACACAGATACAGATAGGAGGCAGGGGATTTCTAGCAGCAAGCAACATAATTGTGCTCAAGCTGTGTGATATCGTGCGATTGCTGATACATGATGCTATCATCTTTTGCAGTAAGATTTAGTCATTGCCTAATCAAATGAAAGCAAATCTTCGGCCTTTAAACATCTCTTCTTTGTACTGAAAATAAGAAGGGATGGTTTTGTTTTCTTCTAATTTTCAGGTTTTCTCAGGCACTCATTGTAGGATGCAGTCCTGGGTATTTTCTGAACATCTCAGTTAATAGTTCTGTTGTGGTAAAACCATCCTTTATCAAAGAAGAGATACTGAAGAGCAATTTGTTTGCTACCTATGGCTTTCCTAAAAGTTGCCAGGAAGGGTTTAGAAGGCCATAAGTGTTTTCTTTCAGCTGGATCTTGATAGGACAGCTGGCTGCAGGCTACCATGGAGTAACTCCTTTTGATTTAGACTAGGCATCTTTTCTTCCAGCCATATTGTAAAGAAAGAGTGTAAAGCATTTGTGGTTTAAATGGGAGGTGATGTTCTACAAGTAGTGATAATGGCTTAGGGAAGATACCTTAACACACTGTTTTCTCTTATTTCCGTATGTTTTTAATGGTAGATATCCCAATTTGTCTGTCCTGTTCTCTGGGCAGATCTGCTATAGTTATACTTTCACTGGCACCACTGCAAAATGTGTCCGTATCTCCTCTCATGCCAGTGCCTCTATTTGTGCACATTGATAAAGTTTCCCTGGAGTTTTCTTTTCTGAAAGCTTAATAGTAGCTCTTGCAGCCTATCCTCACATGTTGGGTGCTTCAAACACTTAATCATCTTTGTTTCTGTTAAAAAAATAAGGCTATTTTTACAAGAAAAAACAGCCTATTCTCTCTAATAATATATACAGCGTTTCCAATGTTAATGTAAATCATGTATGAAGGAGACAAGTATTATGCTAGCTTGAGCATAGCAAGTAAATGAAAGATGCAAAGATAACCCTCTTTTCTGTATTGCCTCTAATTCCTATTGAAGGAATTTTTTATTGTTGAAATTTACTGGGACGATGTGTGTTTTGAAGTACTAAAACACAGTGCCTGTGATGATGAAGATGCATAGAATCGGAGTGTTTGAGTGCTTTTTAGAGATCCTTCAGTCAGTGGAATACATGTCTGAATTTATTCTGCAGGTGTGAATGTCATGCTGTGTTTTATGATTTGGACAGCCCACTGCTTCCTTTGGCTGATCCGCTTTGCATCACGCTCAGGTTGCATGACTTTATTGGAGGGCAAGGGATTTTTTTTTATAGTCAAAATTTATGCTTCTGTCAAATGCAAGTTTGGAATTTAATCTGAGGGCTTCGTTTAAATAACTAAAACCTGTGGACACAGGGGGACAGTTAAACTCTTCTTGAGTATTAGAATCGTCTTTTTCATTGCTCATCTTGTTCCAGAGCTGCCAGGCTGAAGTAACTCAATGGATAGCAGCTTGCAGTGGCCTATTACAGACAGCCATGGTCCAAGGCCAGTGTAGGAGGATGCTTCATGGTATTTTCCAGGTAAGGTATCACTGTACATTAAGTATGTAAAAACTGGGATGTGTTTAAATATGTAACAGTTTTTATGAGGCTTCCAGAAGTGCTGTCCTTGCTTTGCTGTTGGTATATTGCTGAAATATCAAGGTAGCTTGAAAGATTTTTGCTGCTGAAAGAGTGAACTCCCCTACTCTCTAACACAGTTGTTGTCATTCTACCAATGTAGTCTTTTAGTGGGAGAGAATATGAAACTGTTTTGAGTAGATTACACACAAAAATTGAAATGTAGATGTCCTTTTTCCAAAGCAGATGTTACAAGTTTGTCACATTTGCAGTTAATTGCCAGCATTTTATTGTATTTAACATATATATACCACAGTAGCATTAGGCTTTCTAGTATTGATAGTATGTTTGCCTAGCACAGTGCAACATAGAGTAATATTGTTTCAATATAAATGCACTGCTTTGCATTGCTGCTCACGATTTTCAAGTAGCATTCATGTCAGATTGTGTCTGTCCATAGTAAAGTAACCATGAGATTGCTGAATAGTCGAAGGTTAAGAACCCACATATGAGAATGCAATTAAAAATGCAAATAGGAAAAGATGCAGGCTATCTGAACAGGATTAAGGTATGTCTGAGTGTTTTTTTCTTGCATACAATAAAACCGGAGGAGATTAAGCTTCCTCTTCTCTTTTATGGTACATCTGGACAAGTATTGTTGGAAGTAGTGAAGGAAATGAGTAGTTTTCAAGTTGACTGTTAAAACTACAATTAACTCTGAGCCACCAGTTTGGTTTTTGTAGGCATGTAGGAATGACTGCGCTGAACAAAACAGCATATTTACTTTATCTGAATTTATTCATAAACAGTTGACCACTAATCTGGGAAGATACTGTAGATGTGTGTCCCACTTCTTATGTAGATATGCTGCTTGCTTTTACATGATGTTATTCTTTATTGTATAGAAGCTTTGTAGCACAAATCATGTGCCATGTAGATGTTAAAGTGATCGCCTTTACTGTGCAGCTTGTTTTACTCCAGCCTTGGCCACAAAGGCAACTGAATGGACCATAAAGTTACAGATAAAAATAGCGTTGTCTATTTTTGTGCCAGGCCAGGAACAAGAATTATTCTTTAGTAAAAGATGTAATTGTGAGGAAATCAATGCGGGTAGCTTCTAGTTTTTGAGTTCTGCCAGACCGTTCCATCAGTACATCTTCAGAACACTTAAAAATATGTAGTGAAAGAGGCATTAAGCATGGACAACTATTTTGTTTGTAACTGTTAGTAATAGATTTGTGCTTCTTGTTGCATAAAGTTTTTCAGAATTGTACCAAATCAGCTTGGAAACAAAGTAAGGATCATTGTTGTAAAGTTAAGTATTCACTAGTCAGTGATCTCTTCAATTCTTCCTTTTTTTTCTTTGTTCTGTCCTTTTTACTAGAGATGCAAGACCGGCCAGTTCCAGCTGCCTAAAGCCTGTGGTGGATTGATTGAAGCCAGTGGAGCCAAAATGCATCAGAATAGATTGATTTACAGTACAAATAAGGTTAGAAGAGTTTGATGTTTTTGTTTTTGGAGGGCACTTTGCACTAAGAATTAGACAGATAGATGTAACAAAATGCTTTGAAAACACGTAGCTGATCAATCTATGTCAGATGATTTAGAGTAGCATTAATAATGGGCCCAATAATTTGAGAAATGTTCTGTTGCTTTCCAGAGAATGAAGTGCTAGCGTAGGAAAGTCAAATCACAGCTGAATTGTTTGTGGTGAAGGTTCTTATAATGAGCCCACTAAGGAAAAAAGGTAAGTTAAGGAGTGTAGTTATTGGTGGCAGGGGTGGCAGATGCTCCCTTCTCACCTTCAAAGAAGGAAATGCAGAAGTTGCCCATACGTATTGGAAGTGAATAAGATGAGTCCTGATTCCTTATCTTGGAGATAACGTGTAACAAAAGTTTTGCCATCTGCTAAACTGAAAGTTGTCATGTTATATATTAATAAAGACTAATTATTGTTATACATTTTATTGTTATCTGTATTATTTTGTTAATTTGTGATGTCTGCATCTCTTACATTTGTTGTCTTTCATCTTAGTATAGGAGTCCTCTGGAGCATGAATCACCTCCAGAACTTAATGAAAGGGAATCAGCATCTATCAATTAGTAAATGTCCTGATCCTATTCTTCCTATTTCATTGTGAAGAGAATGGCAAAACGGAACATTCACAAAAGAAAAGGGAGGGAAGGGAAAAGGGCAGTAAGGGATTTATGGGTAAAACTTGCATAAAAATCCCGTTTTGCTGTCTGTCTGATTATGTATTTTGCTGGTATAAATGTTAGAAATGTTTGGAATTTGAATTGCTTTTTTTGACATAGGTAGTTAAAATGAAGTGTGAAATGAAGAACTACTGGCTGCTCTTTGCATCTAGTCCTTAACTACGAGTTTTCACCTTGTTTTTAGCCTGTTTTCTCAGCTTCTGGTGAAGCAAACCAAACATTTTTTTCAGACAAAGACTGAAACAAAGTGGCTTGCACCACTTACATCATGAGTTGAGCTAAGAATAGAATCCAGGCTCTCAAAGCTGGGGCATGGCCTAATCACTGTGCCTGCCTGGGACAGCTCTTACATTTGCAGAAATACCATTTGGAGGGCAGATCTGGTAGAGCAGAGGATGCTAAGATGACAGATCTAACAAGCCAGAAGGGGCATGAAGATCTTCAGGTTGGAAGCGAGGGCCTTGGTTTTGATGTATTCCTCATTTAGCCTTTTCCAATACAAAAGTAGAGAGAGGTATAAGGGAGCTTCCTGGTTAAAATAGCCTTGATGTAAGACACCTCCTCTTTGCACAGATTCTTACAACAGGATAGGTAAGGTAGATAAGTTTTTGGACTGCAACTTATTATTTTGAATAGAGAAATACTTACTTGTCTTTGAAGTGTGAACTTGATGAGCCACCCCTAGTGGAAAAGTGGTTTAGAATTAAAGGGAAGCTCCAATTGTTTCTTTTTTATATTTTTTGACAAAATGAAGAGGATTTTTGTTTTGAACACTCAGTTTTTATGTTTTGAGCAAGATGGGCCTATGTGCCTTTCAGTGTTTTTGATGAGCTTGTTTAAATTTAAAGAAGATTTCAAAAATGTTTTGTTTTCTGTTTGATTTTATACACGCTTAAATGACTGGTTAATTGCATTTAGCTACAGTCGTAGCATTGACAGGATGAACTGTACATCTCTGTCCATACACTGAACAAAGAATCCACTGCTGAAATCCCTGCTGCATTTCCTGAGCTAGTTGAGTCAGACTTCTGAATGAAGTCAGAGTCATGGCAATTTGTAGTAGAAGGCTGTTCTCTGCTCTTTTATGCTTTTTGGTGATGGGCTAACAACAGTTGCATCAAGATAGTGCTGGCTTTTAACTTAATTTCCTCTGCATAATGAAAAGTCTGTACCAAAGGAGGCTTCATAATGCATTTGTAGGAGACACGTTGTAAAATTGGTGTGCCTGGGTTCACTAGGGATTTAGCATCACTTTAATTGATGTGGAAGTTGACCTAGTGTGCTTGGTGTGACAGTGGTTATTGGGACCAAAGTCTTCCATTGATGGATCCCATTGTTGCCTGCCTGCCTTATGAAGAGATTCTATGACATGAGATTAGGGGTCATTTTAGTGTAGAGAAGAATAATGCATGGGATAATCTTGAAAAGCCAAGTAGTAAAGATGGGATTAAGTCTTTATTTACCTATTCTTAAACTCATTGGGTCCTATCACATGTGGCAGAGGTTTGGAAAGCACCTTTACAGATGTGGCTGTTCTGCATGTTAGCAGTGGATTGGTGAACAGGTTTAATGGCCAGCATTCAAAGCAAGGGTCTGGGGTCCTGGACAGCAGGACACTGTTGTACTAGGTGACTGATAGGAAATCAAATGGCATTGAGCACATTTCTTCATACTGATCTAGGCACAGAGGAGGTAGAGACATTAATAGCCATCTGTGGGTTGTACGCGAATACAAATCATTTTATCTCAGATGCCTTCTGTATGTGATTATGTCTCAAACTACAATTTTTATCACCTTTGCAGTTAGTTTTTTGTGGAAGAATATCAGCTTGGGCTGAATATATGTCAGTATTTTAATGCTTATTTATCACTTACGTCGTTTCAAAAATTACTCGTGCTAAGGAAGCTACAGAGAACATACAAATTATGAGAAATCTGAAAAGCCTTCTCTATGTGAAATGGCTATTTTAGGGCTTTCCTAAATCAAGGACTCATAATTGGTGGGCATATGCATAATGCTAGTCTCTAAAATTTGTAAAAGATACTGAGAAAGGGAATAGGTAATGGCAATCTGTAACTTCTTATAGATAAGTTGGGAGCTTTCAATGAACTTGCGAGGTCTGAGGCACAAGGGAATTGATTTTACACAACAGAGCAATGAAATTCGTGTACAAGCGTGCTGTGGAGGTTAAGTATTCAAAAACTGTTTGGGGTGCTGAAATTGTAGCTTCCAAAAATAAATGCGTGCATGCATTTCTAATACAGGGATGAATCTTTAAAGCTGGGCAAATACACCCTCGGGAGCTGCAGTGTATGTGACTGTATTTCCCTGCTCTTCTAAGTAGCTCTTCCAAGTATCTGCAACTGGTCCTTGTTGGAGCTAGGACACTGGTCTGAGCATTCTAGCCATGCATGGCAGTTCTTTTGTTCCTGAATTGCTTCCCTACTGACAAAATTCTTGGTATTTTCATGTCTTAAGAGGAAGTGCATTGTGAAATTCCATCAGTTCAAAGCAATTTAACTTTCCTTGGTCAAGGAACTTTCTCAAATGAAAATGGTTCACACCTGCATTCCTCAAGTATTCATAGGAGATTCACTTGCAGTAGGTTTTGGTTAGAATGGTGAAAATTAGTTTATTGATAACATAATACTTATACCAAATTCATTAGAATTAAATATACTTGATTCATTAGAAATTATTTTCTGGAGTACAAATGACAACTATATGTTGTTGTTCAGTACTGCAGCGATGTTTCAGGCAGAATGCCATGAACATTTCTTATCACCTAGTGCTGTTTGAGATGTATAGGTAAAACCTTTCTCTTCATGTTTGCAGGCACTGCAAGTCATTGAGAACTGAATATTTCCCTGATCTAGATTTTCTGCAAATAAAATTGAAAATAACTGTAATGGGAATAAGAATGTGGTAAAGCTTTTCAATTAAAACAGTGGGTTCCTGTAGCTTCATTAATTTTAAGGGGAGTTGATTGGTTTATATCATACATAATTATCTAGAATACAGTATGTCTGCAAGAATGAGGAAGAGTGTGAAAGGATCCAGAATTTATCTTATTTATGATTTACTTGCTCTCTTTCTGTGATTTATTTACTCATTTTATCTGCTCAAGCAAAGGGCAGTTGTTCAGAAAGAATATAGTAATCCAGAATAGGGGCACTGTTTCAGAAAGCAGATTTCTGTACAATCAGAGCCTGAGCTTACAGTGGAATGCTTGCATTTATAAATAGAGGAATGTAAAGTAAGAAAAACAGGATGCTATTCTGCAGAGAAAACTTAATTGTGTACGTGTTGTTGAACAAAGAAAGTAACCAGAAAACCTAAAATTCTCTATTAAGCTTGTAGCCTGCCTCTGATCTGATCTGTCAGATCTAATTGCTGAGACTGATGTGATAATCTTTCTATTTTACAGCAGCTTTCTGCAAAAGATTCTGTGCAGGCATCTGAGGAGAAAGTGGGTCCTTTCACAAGGATAATAGAAGCGATGGGTTTCACAGGTCCACTGAAGTACAGCAGATGGGTAAAGCGTTTATTTGTCATCTTCTTGGTTGTTCAATACTTTTGGCTTTCTTTTGGCTTTCTTAAAAAAAATAAAAAATAAAAAACAAGCAGGAAAAACCCATAAGCAACTTTTTTTTTCTTATGTTGGGAGCAATACTTATATGGAACAATTCTAATTAATATAAGTTATTGCTTTGTAATGTGGGACTCTGGTAGTCCAGAGCTGCCCTAGTTGGTGTGTTGTCATTATTGATGTAAGCAGGGTTATTGGATTTTGATCTGTAGAGTCTTAATTAAGCCTTCCTAAATTTGTTCTGATATCCTGTTTTCCTCTTCATTGGTGCACCAAGGGACATGATAGCAGCTTTATTATCTTAAAGTAAGTGCAATGTCCACATAGGCCAGCATCTTGTCTCTGATAAATGACCAATAGTAGTTATCTAGAAAGAATTTAATTACAGGAAAACCATGTAATGGTACTTCTCTCATGTGCTCCTCTACCTTTCAGCAGTTGTCTGTTTCAGGACAGCGTAAGCATTTTTCTGTAGTATGCATTGGTTGATTTTTTTGTTCTATAAATTTGTACAGTTGCACTTGACACTCATAAGCTTATAGTGTCCTATATCACAGAGGTCCATAGCTAAAATATATGCTGTGGGAAGAAGTACAGTTATTTTTCTTTTTTTTTTAAGTGGTTATTTTTTTCCCTTGGGGTGAATGTTCACATTCTCCCATTCACTTGTGACTTTATAGTCTCAAATACACCATATTAGCTGAGCCTTCCACTGGACTGAAGGGGACCTAGTCTAACTTGTATCTATTGCTGGATCTCTGTCACGTTTTTATTTTTGTTGGCTTTCTTTGATTCTTTCAGTGCTCTGTATTTCTGTGGCAGGAGGATCTCCCAGATGGACAGTAGTGAGATGTGTTACCACTGCTGTTTGTATTGCTTTTCAGTCATAGCCTGAGCCAAAGTCACCCAAATTCCTTCTTGTCGGTGTTTTCTAAATAGTCCTTCCCTAAAGCTGTTGTTAACAGTGATTAAATGAGAGCAGTTCTGTAAAACAGCCTCAGTTCCATCTGCAGAAAGAAAAAGGCAAAGATGAAATCCTGAACTTAGCTTTGACCAGGACATGGTATAAAGCAACCACAGGAAAAGGTGGCGTGATTCTATGACTGGGAAGGGCTGAGCCCATCTCTGCCAAAGTCAAAAGGCTGTCAGCTGCTCTGAATACCTGCAAGGCAGAGTGGATGTTCTCTGATTCTACTATGATGCAGTTGCTTATTGCATCTCGCCCCTCAGAAAGAAAATACAAAGAAAAGATAACTGTATATTAAGGGAGTGAGTTATTTTGTTTAAAAATCGGTTTCTTTTATCAGACGCTGCTAAACCTCATGAGAGGGTAGTTTCTCTCTCATGTGTTTGTATACATACTGTTGTAATAAAGATTCTCATTAGCTACAAGTGTTGATTCAGAGTTCTCCTTAATTGCTTCTCTTTACTGCTTGCTTTTGGCTAAGGAACTTGGGTTTGAAGAGAGTTATTTTGTGGTTAGGGCCCAGGAGACCTGAGTTCATTTTTGGCCTTGCCAGTGCTCTCTATGAGATCTTAGGGAAGTTTCTTAATATTTCTCTTTTTCACTTTCTTCTCCCTCCCCCCTTACCTCTTTTACCCACCAAAACCTGCATGATTAAATTTCACCAGTTTCTTCTGTGTTACTTGCCTAATTTAAAGGCTGGATTGCAGAAACTGCTCTTTACAATATGTTTTTAATGTCTAGTAATGCCTGTTCTGGGGCAGTGCTTTCACAAGGGAGATCTCTACTCCCAGGCCAGGCAGTGTTTCCTTTAAAATGGAAACCTTCACAACTCCAGTAAATGGTGTAAATTGTTTTACTGCAAGAATTTTAGACATGCACTCAATTGTTGAGGAAGCTTCTAATCCTTCATTTTTGACAGAACCCTGTAAAAATATAATAGCCCCAGTGTTTCCTCAGCTGATCAGTTGTAACTTTGGTTGAAGGATACACAAGTAATACTTGGGTAATTGGAAGTGCCATTCAACAGGTATAGGGTGTTTATCTGTAGCATAGTGATCACTGACACAATCCTTAATAGATATCAATTAAAAACAAACAAATCAACCCAGTACTTCTTCCTGGCCTCCAGTTTTTTATTTCTTTTTTGCTTCCCTTGAGGTCGATGGAAAGGAATGGATAGCAGTTCTTCTCTTTCAGATCTTTTCTGTCATTTCTTGTTCTCTTTGAAGCTTCAGCACATATATCTTGGTTATACATTATGCCCTAAGGTTCTTCTGGTGGAATGGCAGGCCATGAACAAAATTAAGCACCTGAAATATACCTCGTATTATTCATTATGTGGCATTATTTCCTTGTCTTTGAAGCTTTGCTGGTCAGTTTTCATTATTGTGGGGAGGAAGAAGATACTTCTAGTGCATGTCTGGTATATAACTTCTTAAAAATTAAATCATACACAACACTCTTGCATACATAAACAGTGAAAATTATTGGAGGAAACTAAGAATTGTGAGTTGGGATCTTTGGAGTCTGTGTGGAGAAAGCCATTTCACTTATTTTTGTGATGCAAATACTATATTAGACTAGATTTAGAAGGGTATTCATTAAGTCATTTAGCCCTGTTTTGGGTTTTTTTTTGCCTGAAGGCATGATGAATTATAATTTGGTAATTCCTGAGAGATAATATGATGTTTAATGTGCTCTTGAAAAATCTCAAGGGATTGTGATTCTCAGAAGTCTTTTTAGAAGATAGCAGCACATGTGTTTAACAAAACCAGTAGTGTTCACTAGCTCTTATCATGAATACTTTGTGTGTTGTCTTCTCTTTTTCTTTAGAAAATTAAGGTAGCAGCTTTGCGCATGTACACGTGCTGTGTGGAGAAAACTGACTACGAGGAATTTTTTAACAGTAAGTCGTGAATTTGATGATATTAGAATTTGAATTATTACCCTGATGAGAGAAATGCTGATGAAAATTGCTTATTATAACTATAATAAGAAAGCAGTTAGTCTTGCCAGGAGCTGAACAGTGCATGGCCAACAAGAAACTGTCTGTGCTACAGCATTACATGGGGCAAAGGTGCACGGGAGTCTGAAACTGTTAGAGTTTGTGTCCTGTAGTGATTAACAAGGGTGGGATAGGAAAAATCTCAGAATAACCTGGAACTGGAAGAATATTGCCTTTTCTATTACTGAGAGTGAGATAGATGAAGAATCCAGATGCCTATTCCTTTTTTTTCTTTTTAATGTGGTCCAATGGTCTCTGTGTCCTATCTGTTCCTTGTTTAGTTCTGAGAAGGTTCTGTGTAAGGCATATCTTTGTCTGTTCATCGAGTGTGAAATGTACTGAGAGGGGTTTGTTATATAGTGTTGCTGCTGCAAAAATTTCCAATGGTTTTCAGAAGGTTTTCCAAAACTCTGATGTGGTTTCAGAGGTGGTAGAAGTGAGAGAACTCGCTCTATAAGCGATTGGAGTCATCACTGGTGATCAGAAAACTGGAACCTCAGTTTTGCTGTGTACGTACCTCTGCTCAGCTGTATGCCCTCTCAAACTTTCCCTTCTTCATCATGTTTGCCTCTCAGATGGAGGTGTTACTATTTTTAGCTGTTGTTTCACTATCTCTGCTTAACAGATTAATTGTGAAAAGATGAATAGATGTTTCCCTAGATAGAAGGAATTTCAAAATGTGTCTGGGAAGGAGATACCACGGCTTTTCTTTGCCACAGATTTTTAGGCTCAGTACTGAGTAAAAATTACTTCAGTTGTATTCTTGGCATTGGCTTGCTGTTTTAAAGCAAAGATACTCAGAGCTCTGAGCTGTAAGCATATCACAAAGAGCAGGTGATCTTTCCCTCATGTTTCCCCATTTTCTCTAGAACATCACTGTTGCTCTTTTTTTCTTTTTGCTCTACAGTATAGGTTGTAGCCAGTCCAGCTCTGATTTTACACCTGGCGAAATCTTACTGCATACACTTGAGACCTTTGTTCCATAAGGAAATAGCTTGTTTTGCTCAGATTGACAGTGTGTGATGTGTCTGCTGCTGTTACAAGAATCCTGTGCTGTTGGAGTCTTTGTGGTTCCAAAGAAACCATTGCTCTGATACAAAAACAGATGTAAGGAGTTTCTGTTATGGTTCTCTACCTGCAGCTGTTTGGGAGATTGGCTTTAAAACCTAGCAGGCAAATGATGTGATCTGTGTTTAAGAAGTAGTTTCCCTAAGAGATGGTTTGGATGGGATGGGCAGGGACCTTTTACGTTGATGTAAAAGAGCTTAGGCTGTAATTCCATGGGTAGCTGAGTTGAAGCAATGGCCGAAGGGAGAAGGCTCAATTCTCCACTTCTTCTTGTGCTCCTGATGAGCTTTGGACTGGAAATTACCATATCTACTGAAGTAATAGGTAGGTCACTGTAAGAAACTAGTTCAGTGTTTTGTTGGCTTGCTGTTTTGTTCTGTTAGGGAACTAGTGGCACATAGAAGCGTCTGATGGCAAGCAGCTGGCATAAATTGAGTGGTGAGGAATGTGTGTTTAAAAGAAGGGAAGCATGGAACATGCAAGATATCCAACTTTTAATTCAGGTCATGTTCCTTTTTTTTTTTTTCTTTTCTTTTTTTAATCAAACCAGATCAATGAGAATGGGGGTTTCCTTTCTTTATCAAGTAAAGATGGGCAACCCTTAAGCCAGGACCACAGCTCATTCCCAAAAGAGCAGTCTGGGTGACTGGACTAGCAGGAGCAGGAAGCAGTTACCCCTAGCTCTGTCAGTGATGTAGCATGCAAAGGTGCACCTGAGACCATGCTGGTGTGGGTGCTGCACACGATAAATTGCACTGTTCAGGACCCTTAAGAATAGTAATGCTGTGGCACGAGACCCAGCTCAGGTCTATCCTCACTGAAACTGGCTGCACACAGACCTAGCAGAGTATTTTTTGTTTTTTTCTTGGCTTTGCTGCCCCCAGCACTTCTGGCTGAAGCTGTATGGTGTTGAGATATCCAAGTGAACTGCACAGAGTCGGCTCTGGTCTCTGGAGAGCTTATTAGCTTTCTCTCTGTAGTTTGTGAAAGCTGTTAACCTACTGAGCTGGCCTTGAAAACAGTACACCCATGCATGTGTAAAACCATTTGTGGGCTGATTAACCCTGTGTGATCAGAATTGGTTCTTCAGTGTTTCTGGTCTTGCTTTTGTGATGTGGTTGTGCTGTTGCTCGAATCATAACTGCATGAACATGCAGATCTCATATTAGTATGCAGATTTCTGTAAGGTGGTTTTCCAACAGGTGAGATAGACTGCCTGGATATTATGGTGCTGAGGGCTAGAGCAATGACAGATAGTATTTCACATCTTAAAATATTGCACTTTCTCAGTGCCTTTCTGATGGTAACCGGTGAACTTTCTGAGAGTTTCTCTAATGCAGAATGAGCCCTGTGAACTGCCTTTCTCTGTGTTGTGCTTTTGAACAACAGTACCCAAAATACGTGAGTTGTGAATCTACTGTAATATGTGAAGGAGCTGTTGCAATTGAGGCTGTCCAATATTATACTGCAGTTAGTTTTATTGTACCTGCCATTCTGCCGTCCCCTTGTCCATAAATGATCATTAAGCAAAATTTTGGGAACTTCAGTTAAGGGCTGATGTTCCAAATGCCTGCTAACCTGTACTGCTTATATGGAAAGTGGAGCTGTTTTAGGACTTCAGATATACTTTGTGTAAAAGAGAACAGAGAAGTAGTAGAGGGAATAGCTAGATTACCAGCAGAAAACTTTCTGTGCATGAAGCTTGTGAAGTTTGGGTAGTTCTAACAAAATGAAGTAAGGATAATGCCTCATATCTTATGTTTGAAAGACTAGAAGAGCTTTTAGGATCAGGTAGGTGATACTGAGAGCTGAGCTGGAATTTCTTGATGAGCCTGAACCTATAGGGTTGCTGCAATTCATTTTGAACTGTTAATACTATTGATTGCTCCACTGTCCTGCAGTTGTGGTAGCACAGTGATGGCTCTATTTCCAATAGTTTCTAGTGGGACTAACAAAGCAGCACAGAAGGGCTGGAGTTTACCTAAAGCACTCTGGATCCTTCTGTTCTCTGCAGCCTTTGGGGCGTCTTGTAGATACCTGCTGCTCTCCCTGTCAGTCAGTACTCTAAGAGAGGGATGCTGACACACTGTGCCTGTTTTATATTTTTTTTTTGCAGGATGTGGGGATGTTATCTCATTTCATCCTTCCTCAAATTGTGATAGTTGCATTTTCCATCAGGAAAAATTCTACTTTAAAGTTTGCTTCTCTTACCTGATGAATTTTAAGTGCAGTATATGACTGGAAAAAGATATATGTCCCCATAAGCCTGAGTGGTTATGTCTCTTAAATACACAGACGTGAACAGTGTGTTCTGCAGGCAGAACAGATTTATTCCTCAGCTGATAATATCACGGTATTTCACAGGTGGTTTTACATTTTTTTTTTTTCTACATCTAACTATATTCTGAAGGAAATAATTTTCTATTGAGTTTTAGGATGGATATTTCTTCCCTTTTAGTTTTCTGAAACAAGGTCTCCTGAAACTCCACATTTTAGAAGTGCCTCCTTTTTAACTGGTAACTAAGGACAAACTTGTTACTCTGAAGCAACCATCCCTCCTTTAAATTAAGACATAGCCAGTCCTAATACAGAAGTTAAAAAGTGAATGAAGAAATGGAAGTGCAACACTTGGGAAGTTAGAGGAAAAAATTCTTCCTTGAACTCTTCTACTGAATAGGTCTTTAAAAACTTTCAGAATTTCCAGCAGTGGAGGTGTGAGCTTTGCTTTCCAGCGCAGAGCAGTTTCTGTGCTAGCAGGCTGATGCGTGCTAACTTCTATTTCAGAAACCTCTGTCTGTTGAACTAAGTGTTTCACTCTGAACCTTGTCTGTGGAACCCTCATTTAATTAACTGGCTTGATTAATGCAAGCACTGTGCACTCTTGCTCTGGTTGGAGATCCTTTGGCTTGCCTTTAGGTCAAAGTATTCATTTCTAAGGACTTGGACTGTTTCTACTTGTAATGAGACAGCCAAAAGGGGAGAAGGGTGTTGGAAACCTGTGGTTAACCTCCAAACATACTGTTAGTTAGTGACTTTATACTCTCTTAGAGGTGGTGTAGGTGATGTATAGACATTGATGCTGAAGCTTGGCACGTTCTGTCCCCTGATGGCATCATCACTTTGAGGAGGAGGAATAGTGATGAGTTGCTTGTTTGCTGTGGTGGCTGCCTGACCGTGGTTGACATATAAAAAGAAAGAGGCTGTAAAAATTTTGCTTCGTGGTCCATGTGAGCCTCCTTGTTACTGCCTGAGAGCCAGGAAGTATAGGAGTTAGGAAGGAATACATTGCAGTACAGAAAAAGGGATTGACTTCCCTGAGGCAGATCCAATGGGAAGGTCTGCTTCTGAATACTCTGCATCCCAGGCTTGAGTAGTCCAGAAGATGAAGCCACGTGCTGGGTAGGCCAAGGTGTCAGCTGCTTTTCATTAGGGTACTTCTTCAAGAGACAGCTATAGAAATGGCTTCCCATGAGGAAGCTTTAAATCTGAGAGGAACTGAAGGACTTACTGTGCACAGAACCCGTAGGTCCATGCATTCCTAGCATGAGGAAGAGCAGTCTGGTTTCTGTGGCGTAGAGCCTGAATCTCCAGCCTCTCAACATCGTGACATGGGTGGTTTTATGGTATAATGTCCACGTGCATGTAGACATTTCTGGGAAACCCAGCAGCTATAGTAGTAGAACGGAATATGGAAAGAGAAATTATTTCCATGGCTGGTTTGTTCTTTTAATCCTAATATGTGATGGCTTGAGGCAAGGTACTCCGAGAGTGCCATGGGTTGTGCAGCCACATAACAAGTCACAGCAGCTGCGTGAGAGCAAAGTGCCAGCTAGCACAGTGAGCAGCATCCTGCCTCTGGCAGGAGGAATCAGCACGTGCTAAAGGAGGAGTGCAAGAACTGGGCAAAGCATCCACTGATACTTCCTTGTAATTCTCTTCTGCTCTGGGACTTCCTGAAGTGGAAGCCATATCTTTATCTTTGTGATTCTTCATTGTGTTTTTTTCCCTCCTGTTAGTTTTACCTCAGTTCTAAATATACAAAGCCTTTTGGTATCTACAGTATCCTGTGACTGCATGTTCTAGATCTTAATGATGTCTGACAGTAAATTATATTTGCTTCCAATATGTACTTACTGAGTAAAGCTAGAAATTTAATTATTAATATGTATTCAGATTTTGGTGTAGTGAATCTGTTAGGTACAAAAACAGATCAAATTTAAATTCATATTTGTTTTTATTTATTTCTTTTCTCTTTCCCATCAAGGGTGCCAAATGCCTGATACATTGAATTCATGGTTTCTAGTAGCCCAGCTTCATGTCTGGTAAGTGAAGCTTGAATAGTAATATAAGTAGTCTCAGGAAATAAAATGATACGTACCTTACTGTGCAAAAAAGCAGGCTCCATGATTAGTGATAAAAGTGGTAATATTTAATTTACAAAATAATGAATTCTAATAGTTTTCTACTAACGAGCAAAAAGACCCATGGAGAAACTGACATCTTAAATCTCCGTATTTCTAGGTAATGGAATAACCCGTGCCGTGAGCTTTCTAAAAGCCTTACTCAGCCTGTGTGGAAAAATCCCATTTAGGTGTTTTAGGAAAAGTTTAAATTTATGTAGAAGTGGTTTAAATTGTGAGAATTTGTGGTGGTTGAAGTTTGCTGCTTGTCAGAAGCATTTAACAAATTATAGCACTGGCATTTATTCTTGCGCCTCTGAAATGTACGTACAGGTTGGTGAATGCCAGCTTGGCTACATCTAAAAATATTTAACACCTTAAACATTAAGTTTTTTTCCTCCTTTTTCATTTGTGAAAAGAGTAGCCAAAAAAATCAGTTTTTCATCTAATATTACATACTTATAAAGGTCAGCAGGATGCACAGGGGAGTACAGTAATTCTTGTTAAGTGCCAGATCTTTCATGAAACTGAAGTCCATAGACTTACATTTTACTACCCAAAGACTCCAAAAGGAAGTTTGTACTAAAATAGTTGCACTTAAGAACAGGCCTCTTATTTCCTTTCCTCCTTTTTTTTTTTTCCCCCTTCCCTCCTTTTAATTTCCTGTCTCCTCAATATATTGAAAGATGGGGCAGCTCATTTCACTAAGGAATGAATTAATTAGCGGAACCATTGAATTGGTTAATGAAATCAGTGGACTCAATTAATGGATCACCCTTGAGATTTGCAGTCTCTTACTGTTCCATATGAAAAGGGCTTTAATGACTGAATTAATAAGCTAATCATTTGGTTTGATATTTGGAAAACTGCTGCAATAAATTTTCAAACCAAACCATTTGTAAGTACTTGAGGAGAAACAAAGGGAGGTAACACAAAACTGCAGAAAACACACTTTTCACAACAATTTTGCAGTGACAGGAAAATGTGCCATGTAGTAGCATGGCTTTTGAGATGCACAATATTCTTTCACAACTGACAGGCATGAAAATAAATAAGGGAACTATGATAGAGAAGGTAGTATTTGATAGACACGGAACTTCTGAGATCACAGTTATGTCAGAGGAAGCCAAGAGTTGCTTCTCTTCAAGCCTGTGATGCTAAGGAGACCCTTAAGGAGGGAAACTGAAACATTCTTATGCTTAACCTATAGTCAGTGTGTTAACAAGAAGGTCCTGCACAAGCAGAAAGGAACAAAATCACTGTTTCATTGGACAATGATGAAAATGTGAATCTGGAAGGTAGTACTAAGCTAATTTTTAATAGGAGGTTTGTTTTTCCAAAGTTTTTATACCTGGCTTCTCCTTGTTTCTGGCAGCTTGACCAAAATGAGTGCTGTCATTCTCAGCAATCAGAGATCTGGTTTGATGTTCTAGAACACAGAGAAGTCTACTCACTACCTGGGCCACTGGAAGATGCTGCATGTTTTGCTTGTGACTATCTCAGTGGCCAAGATTCTGCCATGGCATGGCAGATATATCGCTGCATTCTCTCTGATTCTCTTTTCTAAATCAGTATCTCAGTAAAGAGGGAGCAGGACATGAGGGATTCTACTAACACTGGCATATGTAAAGGTACCCTCCTTCTGAAGGCTCTAATACCTACCTCTCCTCCTGGACCTTTTGTCTCAGGCTAGAAGTCTTTCTGATACCTGACCATAGATTCTGATTGCCATCTGTAAGATGTTTCTGTTCCCCCTCATAAGTCTAGATCACTTTCTGGATTACTTGTTTCCTCCCTCTTCACCTACAGAGACTGACTTTCAACTGATTTAGAATATCTTCTGAAGCAGGAAAGAATAAGATTTTTTTATATATATACTTAAGTAAAAACCCTCCTCCTCTCTCACTGCTGTCATTGTCTGTCATGTTCCAATCAAGTCTTTGTGCTGTCTCACCTTTTATAAACTTTAAGATCTTGTCAGAGCATACTCCTTGCGTTATTACAGATTCTGATCGGTTCACTGTTTGAATATCTGTTTCTTATTTTCTCTTATTTTCTGTGAACCAAATTTTCTGTGTAACTAGAAAGGAGGGGGAGAATCAGGCATTCATTTAGCTCAGTTTTTATTAACTTATTTAAAGATAATGTTCCTTCAGATGCACTGCATTTCCTTCCAATGTTCTTCTAAAATTATACTTTAGAAAATCAGCCTACTAGTGTTCTTCCCTGGGTTTTATAGGCTATTTCAGTTACTTCACACCCTTGATGTCAGGAGGACTTCAGGCTCAGAAGCCCATACCTTCTAGGAAATCTCAATTTTCATTCCCACTGCCACTTTGTTCTTTTCTTGTGACAGTGTAACTGAATTATAGGCTGGGTCCACACAGTTTCCAAACTGGGAAAGTGATGACTTTGACTGTTGTAAGAAAATGTCTTATCTATGTGGTACATCCTGCATTACCTAGCATTTAGGGTCAGCATAGAGCAGAGCTTCAAATCCTTTGTGAAACTCACTGTTTTCTGTAAGAAAAGCTGTGCTTGTGAAAGTGTTGGTCAGTTTGAATGAGTGTAGAGGAAGAAGAACCATCAAGTTTGTGGAAAACAGTTCCTGCAGGGACAGATTTATCAGATTTGCAGAGAAAGGTCTGAGGTTACTGTACTACTTTGAGATACGCTGTCTCAGAAGAAAGAGAATAAACTGTCCATGGTTCATTCTAGAAGAGCAGAGAGGAAGGAGTTTAAAATTACAACAAAGAGAGTAATATCTTACCTGAGAGACCTTTTAAGAACAAGTGTCTGGGATGTCTTAAGGTTGATCCTGCCTCACCATGAGCGAATGGGCTAAACAGCCTAAGTGCAGGCATCAGGAGAGAGGGGCACAGCCAGGCTGAGGTCTGTTAGCTTGTACCTCCACAAAAACCTGTACTTAGCTGTAAATACTGTACCTAGTGAACTTGCTAGGCTGAAGCAAAGGATATCATGCAAACTTGCTAAAGGAAATAGCATGAGTTCAGAATTCTGTACCATTCTGTACCAGCTCCGTACCATTATTCTGAGCTTCCATTCATCATAAAGGTGCAAATCTCCACATCTAGTTGAAGTCTATACAAGAGCTTTCTTCTCCTGTTGTTACTGGCACTTTATGGATGATTTGGGTTAAACAGAACAAAACAGCCTTCTTATTTGGTTGTTGTTACACCCGTTGTTAAACCAGAGTCCTTTCTCTGGCCTGGTATGATGTAACTCTAGAAATAATTGCCTTGGAACACCCGAGGAGGGCAGAATGCCTGGTCCAGTGAAAGGGGATAATAGGAAGCTCTGAGCGGGCTTTAACCTTGGAGGCATAATGCTTCATCAGACATTGACTGCGTAGCACGGAGCTGCATCTCAACGCTTGGATAGAGTAGTGCTGACTTCTGCTTCTGGAGCTTAAAGCAGTGTGTTTTACTGTACTGGCAGAAGCAGTCACAGCTGAGGCTCCTGTTGGAAGCTGCTGCTTCTCACCTCAGATGAAAGAAGGTGCATGTGCTCACGTGCCTTTTCAGGCATCCTTATGGATTATCTTCTTCTAATTTAATCTTTTGCCTAATTAAATATAACATAAATTATCCACCCCAACCAATAGTAGATAATTTTCTAAAGATGGTTTGGAATAGATTTGCTTTCATGGTTTGAAAAGATGAGTCAGTATTTGAGTAAACTGCAGAACAGATTTTGCAGTGAAACGGTAAAATGTTTCACACTGTGTTGACCCAGTTAGAAAGTTTATAGTCTTTAAAGAGTGCACGTCTTTTTAAACCTCAGACGGCAGGTGTAGTAACAAACTACCAAACTTTAAAATAAACTGCAGAATTCCATGATCTCACTCGTGGTGCTGCAGAACAGCTCTATGACAGCACTATGCATCCAAACACAGAGCTGCCTTTTAGGCTTCGAGGGTAGCAGGCTTTCCTCTGAGCACTGCTCCATTCCTGCTCATCAGTGAGCGGTTGTTAACTGCTGGTCTTTGTGCTGCTCTCTCCTCTTGGTTCACTGCTGCTGAAGGAAGACTGGATGGGAACTTATATTTATGCATGTGGGGGTGATTGCCAAGTCCCTCTTGCTATTTTTTTTTTTTTTTCCCTGAGCTTGTGAATTGAGTAAGAGTAGTGTAAAAATACTTCTCTCAACCCAAAGTTAGGCTTCCAAGTCTTAGGCTGAGTGTTTTTCTCTTTGACTTCATAAGAGTGAGCAAAAAAATTTGGAATACAACAACTCTTACTAACTGTTTTGTACAGGTTAATTATGTAAAAGCATAAGAGGAACAAAGGTTTTGAAGCTGATGAAAGTAAGACAGGTTTTAAGCTCATAATGTGTCTGGCTCGTGTCAGGGCTGATAACTAGAGAGATGTTCCGAGTTCTGGATCATCATTCTAGCTGAAAGCTTTGCCATTTTTCTTTTAGCAAGATGCTGATAGATTTACTTCTTGCTACCATCTTCACAGAATCTGGAGCACCTCTCCCATGGAGAAAGGTTGAGGGAACTGGGCTTGTTTAGCTTGGAGAAGAGAAAGCTTCAGGGAGACGTCATGGTGGCCTTCCAGTACTTGAAGGGAGCATATAAGCAGGAGGGAGAACAGCTGTTTGCAAGGGTGGATAGGACAAGGGGGAATGTCTTAAACTAAGACAGAGGAGGTTTGGGTTGGATATTAGGAGGAAGTTTTTCACACAGAGGGTGGTGATGCACTGTTCACAGGTTGCCCAAGGAGGCTGTGGATGCCCCATCCCTGCAGGCATTCAAGGCCAGGCTGGATGTGGCTCTGGGCAGCCTGGGCTGCTGGTTGGCGACCTGCACATAGCAGGGGGTTGGAACTGATGAGCATTGGGGTCCTTATCAACCCAGGCCATACTATGATTCCATGATTCTATTGTCTTAATTGTAATTGTTTGCTTGCTAGGTGCTGTTTAGACAGAAATGGGACTGTCACTACCACCATATATACCTTGGGAATCCTTAAAGCTCTGTTTCCTGAGCCAGGAGTTGCTGCTCTTCCCAGTGTTCCCTTTGCTGACTGCTGTCCTTCCCCTTCTCTCCCTATTAACCTCTCCCAAGGCTCTTACTCACTTACCCCCTTTGATCACTGATCTCCTTGCCATGCCTCAGTCCCTCTCCAATCTTTTGACCTCATTCTGCCAGGACTGTGTTACACTGGAGCCTGACCTGCCTCTCACCTGGTGGCTGCCATTTTCAAAAGCATTCATGTAGAAATCAGATTCTGGCTCAAGGGCTTTTCTTCTTTTGGTACTGGAGCATGAGTGGAATGGACCTTGTATGGGACTTAAATGTATGGTTCTATTTAGAAAAGAGTATGTGAGCAATGCAGCTCTGTCAGCTTGTTTTACCTCTGTGACTCAACATTGGCAGTAAGTTTTGCTTCCTTTACAGGTTAAAAAAAAAAAACAAAAAACAAAAAACACTTTCCTTTACTAACTGGCAAATCAGATAGAATCCATCATGAAGATTGGCATCTGCACTTTTACAGGTCAGCCCAACAGACAAGTTTCAGATGTTTATGATTTTCCCTGTTGAGCTGGCATTCACAGAGCAACGAATGCTTCTAATGCCTGAAGGGAGGCCCAGATCTTATCTCCACTGCAGAAATGAACAGATACATAAATCATTTTTACCTCTTAACTCTTGCAGTGCTTTCACTATTAGTAACATGGCTGCTTCAAAGTGGCCTGTAGCAGCTCTGCTCTTTTGCTTTTTCAAAAGGTGTGAGAAAAAGCTTTTACATCAACAGTTCCCCAAGCATAGCATGTCTCTGCAAAGCAGTGACTTATTTCAGCTTCAGTGTTGGAGCATCCTATCATCCCAGCTTTCTGCCTTGCAATGCAGGAGCAGAGCGAGGTAGAGAATGTGTTCTGGTGGTGGAACTCATCTCCTAGCACAGTGAGGGAACAGCCTGCGATTCAGTTCGTGCTGTTTACAGATGTAATTAAAAAAAAAAGTACGGTTGTGATGCTTTGTTTTTTAGACTGAACATCAGCAGTAGTTTGAGTGGCTTTAAGGCTTTATTTAAAAAAAAAAAAAAAGAAGAAAACAGCCCAACCTGGTATTCTCATTAAGATCCTGCTCACAAACTTGTGATCTCTTCTAGCATGTACTGCATGTAGGGGTTTTGCCAAATGGTTGGATGTGTATAATAAGACCCCTGTAGATGAAATAATTTAGGACATTGCTAATGTGAGTTTGGGTGAAGTCTGTAACCTGCTACAGCTTTCACTACTTGGCTAGTACAGTCTTTTCCAGTATTTTAGTATACCAAGCTGAATTACAGCTGGCTTGTAGCCTAGGATTAGAGAAGACATTTGTTCTTGCTCCAAAGGATGATATGTTCTTAAGGCTGTGGAATTTAAGTTGCAGTACTGCTTAACTAGATTACAGTGCTGTCAGCCAAAATAGAATCCATTGTCAGTCTTCTGTAGCTGGATTGGCCAAAATCCAGCAGATACAGCCCTCGAGTACAGAATGAACAAGTTTATGGTAGTTGTTTTTTAAAAAAATCTTATTAACTGATGACAAAAGCACATACTGTAAGAAGAATCTTAAATGAGCTGAAGCTGATTAAATTTATTCTTTAAACTTGAAGAAAAACTAAAAGCTAGGAATGTGGTGTTTATGTTCCTGCAGGATGTGTCTGGTGCGAATGAAGCAGGAGGGTCGAGCAGGAAAATACATGTGTCGCTATATTGTCCACTGCATGTGGGAGGATGTTGAGCAGCGTGGCAAGGTGATGGGGGTAAGTTAACTCTGGTGTTGGTAATCTTGATGACTTTAATGACTGAGTTCTTGCAGTAAGTTTGTAATTTTGCATATCTTGGAAGAATTAATAATAGATCTTAAATGTAGCTACATGTATATTTCTTTATGAACTTAAGCTGGTACAAGTGGATATCATCTTGGCCACTCATTCCTGCAGCTGTTGTACTGAGCCACTAACTGTGTTTTGATAAATGTATCATGGCCTGGATGAAGATGATGTTTTGCATGAAAGTAATTAATTTTTCAAATATTTGCCATGTGATTACATAAACAAGGACTGCTGTAACAGGATGGGCATTTGGGGATAGGAAATAAGCAGCTCAAGTAGGAAGATACATCACTACTGCCAAGCTTACTACTGCAATTTAAGTCATTCCAGAAGAGCTTTCAGTTTTCTCTGTATCCAAGATGGTGAGTAAAAGGAAGGTCAAGGGACAAAGCTATTATGTTAAGTTTCTGCACGTGACTATGTACTTTCATTAGTTTAATTTTCTGGATTCTTAGTATATCTAGTCTTCATTTCAAAAGAAAAGTGTTAACACTTCCCTTAAGGGAAGCATAGCTCCATGGACAGTTGATTTGGAAGTTTGAAAGAAGAACGAGACTCAGTCTTCTTGGCCTACACTATGAGTATGAGCAAGGTTCTGCTAGGTTGTTGTAATAGTTGTTTCTGGCCTTGTAGTCTGTAAATACATTTCTCTCTCATCATGTTGGTGACAGTCTCCAGTATGACAGTGGTGGCAGCAGATCTGATGTAGTTGAGAATATCAGTATTCAGGATGCTTCTAGTGAGAGAACAGGGCTAGGAAAGGTCTTATGTGATGTTGGAAAAAGAAGTATAGAATTGTTAAATTATTATATAGAGGTTTGTCTGTGTACCTATTTGTGACAAACAAGGAAATGAACAAGTTTATGATTTGGTGTGAGATCACACCAGTAATTCAAGTTTTTTTTGTTGATATTCTGTTTTGCATGTGGTCTTAAAAAGCATTGGTTCTGTTGTAACTTCAGTGATTCTATTGATTTTTTTTATTATTATTATTATTTCCCCAGTCTGTTGGAAATTAACTTTCCTGTGTTATAGATTGCTTTTTAAGATGGGCCTAAATTTAGGCATCTTAAAAGTTCTGGCTACATTAATGAGCAAGACAAAAAGAAATGGGAATCCTTCCTGTCCTGGTCAGATGCCATGAGGTAGTGTGAGCAAGCCTGGGCAAATTAGATGATTGCTAGCACAGAGCATTCTTAGTAGCACCTTTTTTTTTTTTTTCTAAAGCTCTTAAAGTATTCTTTCATTCTAGGAGACAGACAATGATATAAAAACTCATATAACAGGTTTCAAACAGCTGCTTTTGTGCAATGCCTGTTGGGCACAAGCACTTCACAGAGCAGGGGAACTGAATTAGTTTCTGGAAGTCTTGAAGGCCAGATGGCAAACACCTCACATTATTAACTGGCTATTCTAATATCTCTGTATTTACTTTAAGCATTGCAAATTATTAATTAGCATTCTAAACTCGTCTTTAATTGTATTTCTTACGTATTTTGTTTTCGGTATTTAATTATACTGTGCTTTTGGCCTTAATTTCCTTTCTAACCTAGTCCTGACTAAGAGAGAGAAACAAAAACATTAAGTAGTCCAATGGTGTGTGAAAAGTATGAGGAAAAAGATGGAATTAAATGGGAAATGTACATGTTTTTGTCCTTTTCCTGTGCCTTCCATGTCATAGCAATGGTTGTTTCATGTTTCTGAAGAAACTGAGGCAGTTCAGATCCTTGATGTGGGTGTGAATTTAAGGTTGCTTTTTTATTAGAGCAAACAAAAAAGACCTACACCACTGCTCCCTGACCCTCCAAAAATCCCTTTGGGGTTTTTTGAACTCCTTCTGGACAGAAAGCTATTTCTCTGTTGCTTTTGACATTGATTTTTCCTTATATCAACTAACCTCAAATGCCATCATCTAGTTTTTCTTGCAGGGTTTGAAACAGCAGCAAGCAGCAAAGAGAAGGAAAGCTGTTTGCTACTCTTACAAGCATGCTGAACTCAAAAATGAACCATGGTGTAAGTTAGAGTTGTATGAAATCTAATGAAGAACTTGAAAGGGAAAAAGATAGAACTCACAGTCTGTTCTTTGTGAAGAAAAGCACGTAACCATTTCTGCAAACTGAATTATTCCTTTGCTCTCAAAATTCCCCTCAAAATGTTTTAAATGAAGAAAGTGTGTCTTTATATTTTCCATCCAATCTGGAGCTTCAAACATTAATAAATGCTTACTATAATTGTATGATTGCTGTATGATGCAACTGCGAAGAGTTCTTAAGTTGTTTGAATGCCATTCATTCCCTGCTTGACAAGCTAGGCGTCTTTTCAGTTTGTCTTTGAGTTTAAATTTCACAATCTTTAATAATGATAATGCAACATAATAGCAAACAGGCTTGGATTGTAATAATATGATTCCTGTGATGTATTTTACATTGGTACCAAGATAGGCTTTTGGCTGTAGCCTAGTCTTAATGTAGCTTTTATGTGGCAATAGCTGATGCTTAAACAAAGTATGTTCACATTTAAAGTCTTGATCCCACAAACAGTTTCATCTGTGCATATATTTAATATAGTTGAACTGCACAGAGGCCCATTGATTTTAATTACACTCCTTGTGAGAGAAGGTAAACTCTTGAGGTAACAGCTAACTAGACGAGGTACTAAGGGTGTGTAAGAAAGTATGGTGAAGTGTGCTAGATAGTAAACTTGGAAATCAGGACTGCTCTTTTCCCCATACTGTTTGTGAAGGTACAGCTTACATGACTGTTCATTGTTTTTTCATCTTTTAATTATTCCTAATCTTTCAGTCATTAGTTTGTCAACTTTGAACTCTTTAGTTTTCTTCAGGTAGTATTTATTGTGTATTGGATGAAAATACCTTTATGCATGGATGTTCAAAGAGATTAGCTCTGAACATCTAGCTCCCTTGCTTCTTATTTCTATTCCTTTCCTCTGTGCTAGTGATGTTAGCCTACCATCCCATTCTGGCCAAGGCGCTGCACAGGTGACTCCTGTTCTGTCCCTGCCTGCTCACCCTTCCTCACTTTCTTTCACTGCACATGCATGTACTCTGACTGAACTCCTTCCTCACATCTCAGCTTAAGCAGTTCCAGGGGGCAGAGAGGATAGGTTAAGGACACTTACCCTCAGTACTAGGTTCTGCCTATTAGTCCTGATATATTATCCTTAGCGTTTCATTTGAAAAGAAGCTGAGGTCATGCTTTGCCTTCTCTCTCGTGCTCTGACAAAACATTTGTGAGCAGACTGAGGAATATGTGTAACAGTTATTTATTCTCAAGGAGTTCAGTCTTGCAGTCAGTCTATACTCTGCCTTCAAAAGAAGGTAATTAAATATATCATAAGAAGAACAGCAGAACAAAGATGATGGCATTAATGTTTTTCTGCTGACTATTTCAGATTTCATAATCTGAGCCTTTCTCAGAAGTAAGTCAAACGAAAGGAAATTTTCCTGAATTCTTTTAGGTCACTAAGCTATCATCTGCACAGCTCCCAGGTGAGGACATTGTATACCCAGCTTTTTCTGTCCTGTAATGTCTCAGTGGTCAGTGCTGAAGCAGACTGGTACACTGCTGTATTGTGGTATAAGGGACAGAGCACCTGTATGAAACTTGCTGCTTGGATGCAATTAGCTGAACTTGCTGACAGACCAGGCTGCAATTCTTCAGCTCGTTTTCATATCTAGCAGCAATTCCAGCACTTGATGTAGAAAATGGATATTATATTCCTGAATTGATACTGATGGTTTATTAAAATATGCCATCTGCTCTTAAGTACACAAGTTCAATGGAGCCGAAAGTGATAGAATGCCTGGCATTTTAACTGCTAATTTACATCAGCTCCAACTCCAAATGGAGTTTGTATTATTTCAAAAACTGGTTGTTAAAATTGCTGAAATCTAAATCTCAGCTACAAAGTTTTGGGACTTGTTAGCCTGAGCTCCTTCAGCACTCCTGAATGTCGGCAAGAGTCAGAAACCAAAACTTGACGCAGCTGTAAAAACACACAGAGAGCCTGTGGCCTCAGCAAATTCTACTGGTGCAGGCATATTTCAGATATAAATTTTACTCTGCTGTCCCTAGTACTAATGAAGTCAGTTTCTTTTGGTGGGTTTGCAGCCAGGTGTGTCCAGTTCTGTGGCTAACCAGTGCTCTTTACTTAATTTTTCCACTAGTGACATTTCTATCAAACTTTAAAAACAAACAGAAAAATTGGCTTGATGCAATGGCTCCAAGTGTTAATAGTAACATTAGGCTGGGTACAAGGCTTCCTTTCGATCCTGCTTTGCCAGAGATCTCCACCTTGTGGCTTGCACTGAATAGATTTATGCTCCTCAAACGGGCAGATGCTTCATCCATTTGTAAGGGGAATTCAGACAATACTGGAAATTGCTGCTATTTGTCTTCCTATCAGAGTGCTTCAGCAACCTGAATATTAACCTGAGCCGAATATTGTTGCAGTAACTGCGTGCATGTGAAAGCAGTTATTGTGGATCTAAGTGTATTTGAATACCTTTAGATGATGCAGCAGATCTGATCAGAAGGGCGTCTGGATGCTGGAGTTCCATGGAGCAGAATTTCAGCTGATTGTTTGATGACAGAAATGTGATGACTTTTTTTTAAAGGAAAAAAAAACCCACCAAAGGCCACTGAAAAGAGCAACGAAAACTGATGCAAATCACATGCTGTCTTAGATGCATTAGTCTTTATCCAACTACATGCAAGCTGTTGTTGGGCTCTTCTTGGCAGCGATATTCTTGTGTGTTGTGGTAGCATTGTGCTTCTGAATTAAGACACTTTCGGTGCAAAAGAGCAATTCCATTTTATAACTGTACATGTTCTGAAAACTGCAAAAGAGATAAGAACAAGAGGGGCTGACAAGCCAGGCATGCCAAACCTGTTTTAATTTATCTTAAT